GTTTTCACCCTCTCCAGATTGCTAGAAAGGCTCTGGAGCTAGATAAGAGAGAAAAATGGGCCTTCTGGGCCATCGCGTGCCAGGAGCAGGGTGAGCAGGGGGGGGGGATCATGCGCAGGGGTAGGGCACATAGAATTATGGATGCGGGCATGTGCGTGCGCGATCCCCCCCTGCCCCCCCTCCTGGCATGCAATGGCAAAAAGGTTAGCCATCATTGTCCTAGGATATCTTTCTTATTTGGGGAGTATTTTGTATTGAAATGAGAGAAGGTTAGCCTCCCATCCACCCAAATGTGGAAACATAGGTGGGAATTAAACCAGTTAAAGAACCCGAGTTTCCAAGCAAATTAACTTCTACTTTTTCAGAGCTGCTTGGTACGTGGTGACCTGTTACGGCTCTACATTCTGAAACGCTGTCATTTCTAGAAGATACATCTAGAGACAAGGTCTGAATTGCACCCCCTTTCAGTCAATATGGATTTGAGGTCATCCTTGTAAAATGTGTGGAATTTACGATGGCCCGGCTGACACGAATACAGCCGTACCATTGAACTCCGCTGTAATTACGCCACATTATATTAGAACATATGATATAATTTAACTTGGCATAATCGCATCTTTCTTTGCCTATGCAAAGCTCATCGTTTTTGCAAATTACACATTTGCACTAGTAAAGATAATTCATCGCTCGGCTGTGAGCATAAAAATGATGGAGCTTTTCCCTTTTTTGGCTCCGTCATTGATCTTTCGGATTTTACTGTTTGATAACATGAATCACATTTATTAGCCAAGTGTTCATCATAAAGAATGTAGAATGCTTCTCTGCTGTTATCTTCAATTAAGATACATTTCCCCCCCCCCCCCTGCCACTGTCTCTTACGTGTCAATGAAATATTATGGATTCTAATTGGAAATCTAGTTAATGAATTCCTGGCATTGCCAATAATCCAGACAGACTCTCTCAACCATACCTTCCTTTTACCACTTCGCAAAATAGTGGAAGGAGCAAAAAGAGAGAAAGACATCAGAGTAAAAATCTCGTAAGAGTGATTTGATTTATATGCCAAAAAAAAAATGGGATTGGGGTTAAACCAGTACATCTCAACCTTGGCAATTTGAAGATGCATGGACTTCAGTTCCCAGAATTCCCTAGCCAGCTGTGCTTTGCCAACCATACCTTCCTTTTATTAGTTCCCAAACTAATGGAATCATTTTATTGAGTAGAAGGGCTGGGAAGGGAGAAATTCACTTCTTAGTGCAGAAATCTCCTAAAAGTGATTTGATTTGTATGTATAGGGGGGAGAAATTGACATAGGGTTTAAACCAATATTTCTCAATCTTGACAACATGAAGATGCTTGGACTTCAACTCCCAGAATATCCTAGCCAGCTATGCTATGCAGGGGTGGGATTCAGAAATTTTAGTAAGGGGTTCTCTGCCCGGTTGCTGGGTGGGAGTGGCCTACTCAGCCTACTGCACCATGGCCGGGGGGCGGGGGGGCGGCAGGGGCAGTCAGTCCTTGCAACTACCGTTTCAGCAAACCAGATATAAAATTAGCATCTCATTCGCCCGAACCATTCCGAACCGGCTGAATCCCAACCCTGATGCTACGCCAAGCTAAAGTTGTCCAGGTTGAGAAATGCTGGTTTAGTGTGTAGTTAAGATCAGTAGTGGGTTGCCCCCTATGAAGGAGGTTCTGTGCACAATAGACCGTGATCCAATTACGCACACAAACGCACTAAAGCATGCAAGTCGAGAGAGGAGTCTTGAGAAACTATTTGTTTTAATAAAAACACATGAAAGCAAAGCCTACAAGAAAACACCAACAGCCAAAAGCTCTCCTCTTAGCGAAGTCCATCAGCTCTTCATGGAGTCTTCCCTCAGCATAGGGAGTTCTCGGTCCTTTGTCTGCTTCCTCGGGAGCAAGGCAGTGACTCAGCTCTTTTGCTCCATTGAAGTGACTTCAGCCATGGAGGCTCTGTGGCGTATGCAAATCTCTGTCTCTCTCCTCGACTGTGTGAACCTGTCTCTGTGTCTCTCTTTGGGCTGGAAAAGCCCTCCCTTATACTTCAAGAATGTCCATTGGAAAAAGCCCAGGAAAGACTTGAAATCAAATACTGCGGCATGATTGGCCAGTTCAAACTTACAAGCTGATAACCAATCAATAGTTAAGCTAATCCTGAGAGAACTTATCTCTCACACCCCCGGTTCAGACCGGTTTGCAAGAACCGGTAGTAAAACCGGTGGGAGGCCCCGCCCACTGCCCCAGATGTCATCATTGGCAATCTGCACTTTGTGCGCGCACGATCCCGTTGCGAACTGGTAGTAAAAGTAAGTAGAACCCACCCCTGGTTAAGATGAAGCGATGTTTGGTTCGTGTCTATTTTTACATCGAGAGAAGAGTCTTGTGAAGAGTTGACCAGATTGAAGGGAGAGAGTGAATGTTCTTCCTGGATAGTCTGTAAATCAAATCAATCTTTATAAAGATCATAGGCCAACATCAGAATGTCAATAAGGATTATATATATATTTGCCTTAAATAGAGATTATTTATCAATATTGGCGGAGTTCACATGTTACATCAAATGATAATAAGATTTATTTTTCTTTGGCTAAATGTACACTGCAGAACCATTCATTGGTGATATATAAACCATGATTCAGGGTTTAGTCTGTTCTGGAAGCCCAGCCCGGGCAGTGGTGAAATTCTATTTTTTTTTACTACCAGTTCTGTGGGCATGGCTTGGTGGGCGTGGCTTGGTGGGCGTGGCAGGGTAAAGATACTGCAAAATCTCCATTCCCACGCCACTCCAGGGGAAAGATACTGCAAAATCCCCATTCCCTCCCCACTCCTGGGGTCAGCCAGAGGTGGTATTTGCCAGTTCTCTGAACTACTCAAAATTTCCGCTACCAGTTCTCCGAACTACTCAAAATTTCTGCTACCGGTTCTCCAGAACCTGCTGGATTTCACCCCTGAGCCCAGGGTAGCTTAGTTCAGTAAAATACAGTTCAACCATGACTGATTGCAACTTGTGATGCAACAGAGGCCTCACAATGGAAAGCGTTGTGTGATAGAAGATGACTCAGATCTGTTAGTCTCTACATTTTATCTGCCGCTCACCCTCCTACCCCCGCCCCCAAAAAATCTAGACACTCTGCCTGGATTGTTGAAAATTTACTAACAAAAACTGAATTGTCGAATGTATAGAAAATGCTTTTATATCAACAGCACCCATGCACTTACTGATTTTCGTGGTTTTCTGTTGAGAAATAAACGTGCCCCGGTTGGTGGGTATCCTTCCCTGCTCTGAGATTTGCAGATTTTGTTAAATCCCCGTGCTGTAAACAACACAGTGGGCTCTTTTCAGTCAATTAGGAGGTTTGCAAATTAATTACACTTGAAAGGTACTGCAAGCCAGGGCTCCTGATAGGTATGTACTGGGGCTGTTTAGATCCAGATTGTTCCTTTGGCTGGACCCATGGTGACCGGACTACTACTACTACTACTACTACTACTACTACTACTACTACTCTGGATTTCACCCCTGAGCCCGGGTAGCTTAGTTCAGTAAAATACAGTTCAACCATGACTGATTGGAACTTGTGATGCAACAGAGGCCTCACAATGGAAAGCGTTGTGTGATAGAAGATGACTCAGATCTGTTAGTCTCTACATTTTATCTGCCGCTCACCCTCCTACCCCCGCCCCCCAAAAATCTAGACACTCTGCCTGGATTGTTGAAAATTTACTAACAAAAACTGAATTGTCGAATGTATAGAAAATGCTTTTATATCAACAGCACCCATGCACTTACTGATTTTCGTGGTTTTCTGTTGAGAAATAAACGTGCCCCGGTTGGTGGGTATCCTTCCCTGCTCTGAGATTTGCAGATTTTGTTAAATCCCCGTGCTGTAAACAACACAGTGGGCTCTTTTCAGTCAATTAGGAGGTTTGCAAATTAATTACACTTGAAAGGTACTGCAAGCCAGGGCTCCTGATAGGTATGTACTGGGGCTGTTTAGATCCAGATTGTTCCTTTGGCTGGACCCATGGTGACCGGACTACTACTACTACTACTACTACTACTACTACTACTACTACTTCTTCTTCTTCTTCTTCTTCTTCTTCTTCTTCTTCTTCTTCTTCTTCTTCTTCTTCTTCTTCTTCTTCTTCTTCTTCTTCTTCTTCTTCTTCTTCCCTCCTTCTCCTTCTCCTCCTTCTTCTCTCTTCTTCTCCTTCTCCTTCTCCTCTCCTTCTTCTCCTTCTCCTTCTCCCTCCTTCTCCTTCTCCTTCTCCTTCTCCTTCTCCTTCTTCTTCTTCTTCTTCTTCTTCTTCTTCTTCTTCCCCCCTTCCCCTCCTTCTCCTTCTTCTTCTTCCATATCCGTCATTGGACACTGGCGATCATGTTGGCCATCCTATTTTTGTCAACAGCTGCATGAAAAAGTGCTGCTGAGTTTTGTCCAAACCGGTCCCTTAGGTTTTGAAGCCATGATGTTCTTCTTCTGCCTGGACCTCATTTGCCTTCAATCTTTCCCTGGAGGATTAAGTGAAGGATGCCGTATTTTTCTGAGTGTCGCATCACATGTCCAAAATATTCTAACTTTCGTTTTTTAATGTCTTTGATGATTTCCCTTGGCTTTCCCAGGCGGCTTATCACCTCCTCATTTGTGATTTTATTAACCCAGCTCATAAATAACAGCTGTCTGTAAATCCACATTTCAAATGCTTCTAGTCTCTTCAAGTGGTTTTCTGTGGTTACACGAGGGTGGGCAATGAGAGACAGCTAAAGGGAAGGAAAAGTTGAACTTAGGGATTTGGGCGCGCGATTCTCAGTTCTGGCTTTGCAATACTGCAATACACTTAATCTCTAATAAACTATACCTTTCTCAACAAATGGAGCCGGGGATTGTTTCTATTTAGAGGTGTAAGTTGTGGCAAGTTCGACAACCTATCTTTAAAAGAAGGGAACAGTCAATGTTCTGTGTGCTTTTTTTTTATAGGTGGAAGTGAATCCTCGTGGGATAAAGAGAAGCTTCAGTCGCCGATCCCGACAGGATCTCATCACGGGATTAGCCACGCGGCACTGTCAGGGCAAGCCAATTTGGGGAGCGCTCACCCGCTTAGTCCTCTGCAGCAGAACCATCTGCTCACAAACAGTACGTATGCAAACACAAACATTCCAGCATCTTGGCGGGTTCAGAAATGTCCCGGGACCGGCCCTGTCGTCAAGCGGAGGGAGACACCCTCTTTAGCTGCCATTTCTTATTTCACTGCCAAGAATAGGAAGAGGGACGGATGGAATTGTCTGCCAGCACTTTAGTCCGCTGCGCCACCAAGGCTCTTACATATGTTTTCTTTCCATGCTTTTCTTGTGGAAGTGTGAATTGGTAAATTGGTGGCTTCTAGACTAGAGGGCCTGATGAATTTTAATGAAGATGGTATATTTGGAAATATGAGATGGCCAAGCTCCATCTAAGCTTTCTAAACATAATCCTTTTTTTCTTTCAATTATCCTCAGGCAGTGCAAGGAAAGGACTCAAAGTCTTAAGGTTTTTTTTAGCACCTGGTTTGGGGAGTGTGACTCACGTCTGCTTACCTCAGGATTTACTGAGATTGCCTGAAGCATCTTTTGAGTAACTTCTTAGTAGCTGTCTTTATCCTGGTTAACACTGATTCATGTTAAACTTTGGGGAAGCGGGTTCCTTACCATGCTTTGTTAATGTAACCCATTTGGTTATTTCAGAACTATTTGGTGGTTAATGTATTGTGCTAATCCAACAAATTGGTTAATTCAGGAACCAGTTAAGCATGTTGTGTTAATGGCACTGTTGAGATGTTGGCATTCGACGGGGAGTTCTCCAGTGATGTCATAATCTCTGTGGGACAATGAGGTCATTAAATGCCAGAACATTTCAATCCCATTTTTCAATCTTCTTCTTCCGTCCTCTCTCTTCTCCCCCTGCATTTACATTTGGAATTTAGGCATGGTTTTTTTGTGTGTGCAATATGCTAGTGGGAACTTATCAAAGAGAGATCCAACTTAGAATTAAGGAGAAATTTCCTGTCAGTGAGAACAATCAACCAGTAGAATGGCTTGCCTTCATAAGTTGTGGATGCTCCAGGATGGAGCTTCTTCCACCCAGAAGGATGGAAGGCTGAGTCAACCTTGAGCTGGCCAGGATCAAACTCCTGGCTGTCGGCAGAGTTAGCCTGCAATACTGCCCAACCTGCTGTATATCATTTTTGTTAGGATATGGTTTGAGCCTAACAAGTTGTCCAGGCAATATATGTGTTCTGTGACTTTAATATGAATATGTATTGTGTGACTTTAAAGTTTTACTGCTGATTCATTGTAATGCTGAGTCATGCTGTAATTAGATAATCACTGGTTGTAAACGTATTTAAGAAAGGTACTGTAAAGTATTCAGTTGATGATAAGCTACCATTGTGTGTGGAGTTGCTATCATTGTGCTATCATCGTTGGATGGATCTGCTACCATTGTGGTTTGTGAACCAGAGTGAACTTGTTATTCTAACCAACTACTGTTTGTGTGGTAAGAAGAGTTTTTGTATCACTGGACTGATTTAACTGGCAAAGACTTGGATTGATTTAAAGACGATGAGATAGTTTTTTCACTATAAAGTAAACTTTTGATAAACCAGTTTGCACATCTCTTATTCATTGCTCTCAGCAACGTTTCTCTGTGCTCTACACTCTGCTGGTTGGTAACACAACAACAATGGACAATATCCTTAACAATTTTGTTGCTGTTGTTGTTGTTGTTGTCTTCCGCGTGGTGTTCGGAGTGTTTATTGAATAAGAAATAATTCTGCCCGATCTGCAGAAGCAGATGCATTTTTCTTCTCTTTCCTTTCCTCCTCCCCTCACCCCCTTTGCAAAAACCTTTTGAGATATTGTCCCTTAAAACAATGAAGGCTTGTTACATTCTGTTTGTCATTTGCATGTTGTTTGCATGTCAATCGGATTGTAAAGAGATGAGCAGCCCGGTTCAGACAGATGGTGTCTGGAAGCACTAAAACTCTACGGTGTAGAAGGAAAAGATTACGAGACTGCAGGGGAAGAGTTAATGAGTGGACAAAGACTGCCATTAGCAGTCGATGTGGGCTGGATGGAGTGAGTGAAACAAGAGATATCACAACACGCATTCTTTCCAAACCAATCATAAGCTCCTGGTGTATTGTGTAAATATAAATCTAGAGGTAGATATAAGGATTTTCCCAGCATCTCTTCTGGCGTCATATCGTCTTCCAAAGATAAGTAGTCCTTGACTTCTTTTTTTAATAAGTTTTTTATTTATTTTCCATTAAAAACATATATAAACAATCCATCTCTCCTTAAACAGTGTGTCGTCTTAAGTACAAATATTTCTGTGCAACATCCTCCCACAAATTATATACATTAAACAATTATACCTTGTGTAACTCTTCATTTCCTTCATAATGTATCTTCTAGTACAAATCCAATAATAACATTAAGCACAGTTATTCTCATCATACTCATATTATCAATTGCCCTTTTATTCTTATCTCTATTTTAATATATTTTCTATTCTTATTGTCTTCTTCCTTTATTTCCAATTTCCTTCCCCCCCCCCCCTCAACTGTTGGTAAAATACTTCCCATATCATATAATAATCAGTTTGTTCTTTCTCTTTAATTGCTAGTGTTAGTCTATTCGTTTCTGCACATTCTAATATTTTCCTAATCACCTTTTCTTCAATAGGAATCTCTTCACTTTTCCAATATTGTGCAAATACAATTCTAGCTGCTGTTAATGCATGAATAATTAAATATATATATTTTCTTTGAGTAGTCCTTGACTTATAAGCACGATTGAGAGCAGCATGTTCCACCGTTAAGCAAGGCAGTTGTTAAACGAGTCCTTTTAGCCGTGGCTGTTAAACGAATCACTGCAGTTACTAAGGGAATTGTGTGGTCTTTAAAGGGGAACCAGGCATTTCCTGATTGGCTTTGCTTGCCAGGAGTCAACTAATCCAGCCATCAATTTTAAAACTGAATCTTTTGAATATTATATTCAAGTCAAGTCACAAGGGTCTTTTGAAAGATGCCGATTACAGTATTTCTATTGTACGTTTTAAACATCAGAATACTTTAGCAAAACAAAAACAAAAAAAGAGCCTTGGTGGCGCAGCAGACTAAAGTGCTGTTAGGTAGCACCAGCTGCCTGCAATTACTGCAAGTTCTAATCTCACCAGGCTCAAGGTTGACTCAGCCTTCCATCCTTTCGAGGTAGGTAAAATGAGGACCCGGATTGTGGGGGCAATAAGCTGACTTTGTATAAAAAAAGAACACCGCTTGGGGTGGGGGTGGGCAAAAGCCCTACTAAGCAGGTATATACAAAAGTATGAAGGCTATTGCTTAACGCATTGTAAGCCTCCCTGAGTCTCCGGAGAAGGGTGGCATATAAATCGAACCAATAAATAAATAAATACAAAACAAAACAAAACAAAACAAAACCCAGAATTTATTCTTTTTTGTTGTAGATTGCTAGATAGAGAAGTGTCTTCATTGATTTGTGCCCTTCGATTATATATTTAATTTCAATACGGGGGTAACCACCTAAGGTTTATTTCTATTTTTTAAAAAACAAAACACAAAGTATCTGCCCTATTTTTCTTCTATGTATTAGTACAAATCTATTGTTCTGCTTATTCCTGAAGCTAAATTTTAACTGCAAAACGTAGAAAACGTTTCAAGCTAATTATAGTCCTAATTGAGTTGGTTGCATTAAACTTTCGCCCTCTTTTATGGGTGAAAACCCTAGGAAATCACTGCTTTTAAATTATTTACGGGCTGCTGTTCTCCTGTTTCAGGGATAGACCTGCCATTTATGATGATGCCCCATCCTCTTCTTCCGGTTGGCCTACCTCCTGCTTCGGTAGCGATGGCCATGAATCAAATGAACCATCTCAATACTATCGCCAACATGGCTGTAGCAGCCCAGATGCATAGCCCGCTTTCACGAGCCGGAGCATCAGTAATAAAGGTAAGAATCCGAACGTAGCTCTCTGTCAGTGTTGGGTTACATTATGTCATTTCGGCAGGAAGTAAAATTTCACTTACGCAGATTTCCCGTACTCAGAAAACCAGCTGGAGAGATGTTTGTATACTGTAGGAGAAGAAGGGGCAGAGCTTGAGGGGTGGAGTCAAGAGAGGAAGCTGTTTGGAGTCATTATGTTCCCACAAGCAGTCCCAAGTGCAGCCCCCATTGGATTCTGTTAACTCTTATCGAGCAGCAATTTAATGAGATGAATGCCAGGGGTGAAGAAACAGGACCACACATGTTCCACAACTGGAATATTCAGGTCCAGTAAAAAAGATTTATTGCTCAGGTGTTTTAGGTAAAGGTAAAAGTTCCCCTCGCACATATGTGCTAGTCGTTCCCGACTCTAGGGGGCGGTGCTCATCTCCGTTTCAAAGCCAAAGAGCCAGTGCTGCCCAAAGACGTCTCCGTGGTCATATAGCCGGCATGACTCTATACCGCCCCTCTCCCGAAGGACTCGGGGCGGTGTACAGCCAGGGAAAAACACAATACAAATATCACAATTTATATTTAAAAATTATTAAAAGTATTACATTTAAGGCCAATTAGCTAAAAAACCCAAAAATTTAAGAATTCCGAATTTAAAACTCAATTATGAAGCTAGCCCTGCCAGTCGGAAGAACAGGGTCTTAAGAGCACAATGGAAAACTCGGAAGTCAGAGATCTTGTGTATGTCCGGGGGCAGTTCATTCCAAAGGGCAGGGGCTCCCACAGAGAAGGCTCTCCTCCTGGGTGTCGCCAGCCGACATAATTTGGCCGATGGCACCCTGAGGAGTCCCTCTCTGTGGGAGCAACCTGGTCGCCAAAGGCGCACGAAACCCTGTTACCTTCCCACCAAAGGTGGTTCCTGTTTTTCTACTTGCATTTTTTACGTGCTTTCAAACTGCTAGGTTGGCAGAAGCTGGGACAAGTCACGGGAGCTCACCCCATTATACGCGGCACTAGGGATTCGAACCTCTGAACTGCCGACCTTTCGATCGACAAGCTCAGCGTTTTAGCCGCTGAGCCACCGCATCCCTCTTCAAGGGTTTTAATTATTGTTTTAATTGGATTTCGTTCTAAGCATCACATTCTGCAGTTGCGCTAAGACTACAAGACCCAGGTGCCTGGGCCCCAGTTGTACTAAGACTACAAGTATATACTTGTATACTACAAGAGCCGAGATGGCGCAGTGGTTAGAGTGCAGCACTGCAGGCTACTTCAGCTGACTGCTAGTTCAGCAGATCAGCGGATCAAATCTCACCGGCTCAAGGTTGACTCAGCCTTCCATCCTTCCGAGGTGGGTAAAATGAGGATCCAGATTTTGGGGCGCAAGAGGCTGACTCTGTAAACCACTTAGAGAGGGCTGTAAAGTTCTATGAAGTGGTATATAAGTCTAAGTGCTATTGCTATACACAAGAAACTAGTCAACTAGCAATTAGCACTAAATTGGCACTAGAAAAGAGTCAATGGAATTCAAGATGGTTGGATTTAGACCAGGGGTCTCCAACCTTGGCAACTTTAAGACTTGTGGACTTCAACTCCCAGAATTCCTCAGCCAGCAAAGCAAAGCTGCCTGGGGGAATTCTGGAAGTTGAAGTCCACAAGTCTTAAAGTTGCCAAGATTGGAGACCCCTAATTTAGACCATTTGTGGGAATGTAATGACTCCAGGCTGATTCCTCTCTTGACTCCACCCCCAGGCTCCTATATATATATACTTGTTGTCTTTCTGATGTTATAGGTTCCTTTCTCTCTCATGTTAGATGGGATTGAAGTGTACAAAAATGAATATAGTGGGTTAAGAACAAGAACAGAAATGGCCACGTCAAGGAGGAAACCACAACCATTATAACAACAGAGAACTCAACTCAACAAAGTAGGGAGCTACATAATGTCACACAACACTGCCTGTGATAAGACCCAGCTATTTTAACCTCTCTGGAAGGACAACACATTTGGGGTTGTATGGATCTTAGGGAAGAGTGTTGTTCTGGAGGGCAGCTGCCTTCTGGATTTCACAAGTTGGGCCTCGTGACCTAGTAATTCTATCATGCCCTGATAGAACCATCCTCCTTCCTAGCTACCTCCTGGCATGGAGGTCTCCAGGAATGAGATCTTCAATCCTTACCATTCCTCATTGCTGGAGAATTCCAGATGCTCACATTGGAGAAGGCTGATCCAGCCAATTTTGGAAGTGAAAATGACCACGGTGAGACCACCGATAAAGGAATGCAAACCAAGCATTTCCACAGGCTCCACCAGAGCATCAGAGCTTTGTCTGATGGCACTCAGGCAGAACCTTTCCATGAATATCTTCATTCAGCCATTTGTCTTTCGAAGCCCTTTTCTGTAAAGCTTTCGCCGAGCTGCTTCTCTGCCATCAGAAGATCTTGGCTCCTTCTAAAACACTTTGAACGAAACGATGTTGTCCTGTACCCCATCCATCACATTCACCATCCAGAACAAAGCTGTCTATCTCCATTCTCCTCTCCGCAGTATCCCACCACCTGTCTCTCAAAGGTGCCTGCTCAGCAAAGTTAACATTTAGTAACTGTGGATAGAAATGTCACAACTATGAAATTTGATTTCCCCTGGACAAGAATACTATAAATTAAGCAAAGCCACGCTAGCCAGGTTTCAAAAAGACTTCCTTGCCATCTATAATCTTAACTTAATGTGATTAAGCAGCTCCTACTGCCACTTCCACAGTTAAGGATGCTGTCAAAAATTCCATTATAAATCTCTGCCTTCCGGGATTTACAGTCCCGCCGAGATAACTTTCTCACTGTTTGAAACTTTGGTTCACCGGGATTCATCTGCAGGATCAGAATTTTAAACAAAATGTCAGGTGGGTTTATTTTTCAAAAATCTAAAGTGGACGGAGCAGTAAAAAAAAAATGGCCCACTTTGGGGAAAAGCTGATTTTTAAAAAATTTTTAAATAGATGAAGTGAGTGGTCTCAGTCAAGGTTGAATCTTCCCCTCTTCCAGACCTCTAGAAATGACAAGGGATTTTTTGACTAATCAATCTATATATATATAAAAGCCAAATACACTCACTCATCACGAAATCTCCAGAACGGTAAAGCCTACAAACTTGAAATTTGACACGTACGTTCCTCTTGGCTTCTAGGTGCTCGCTAAGAAAGGAATTTTCAAAATGACCCTTAGATCATTAGTATTTCATATACAGTATATTAACATGCTCTGATGCTAAGGAGTTAGACGTTCTACTCCCCCTCCCCACCTGAAAAGAACTCTGTTCCAACTGCCACGTGCTTCACATTCCATTACCTCAGGTCAAACTGGCAAATGTTCTACTCCTTCACTCAGGAGCGGTCTGGGGCTCCTTATAGTACTAAACGTTGCTACCTCACCAAAATGTCTACGCCTTCCACCTATGGAACTGCTTCCGGACTCAAGGCGGCAGGAGAGATATTCCCTTATGTATTTCAATCACCGACCACCACTGAGCCAACGGTTGTGAACCGAAGTTCTCCTGCAAAGTGTCCCAGCCCCAACTCACTTCTTACACTGACCTCCTCAGTTCAGACGAATCTGTTCCTTCTACCGTAACACCAGTTAAAGGGAAAAGACTGTCTTTCTGCTGCCTGAAAGTACAACGGATGCTTCAAAATGACGTCTTTTGGAGCCAGAGAGGTGAAGGAGGGAAATTTTATGTCAACATTGGCATGGCATGGCTTAGTGGGCGTGGTAGGGGAAGAATACTGTAAAATCTCCATTTCTTCCCCACTCCAGGGAAAGGTTACTAAAAAATCCTGATCAGCTGGGACTCGGGAGGCAGAGAATAGATGGGGGCGGGGCCAGTCAGGGGTGGTATTTACCGGTTCTCCGAAGTACTCAAAATTTTCGCTACCAGTTCTCCAGAACTGCTCACAATTTGCTGAATACCACCTCTGCTCTGTGGGTTGAAAGGAAACAAATATAGGGTGTTTTTGTCCTTTTTCTAGAAGAGTTACCCAACTAGATGATCTGGCATTGCAAGTAGTGTTTCTAGAACACTGTTCTACTCCTGCGATTCAGGGAAGGCAACCTTCCCTTTGAAATGGAGTTGTGGAATTCTTTCCCTTCAACAACGCAGGGAGTTTGTTTCTGCTAATTCTGATCACTGTTCTGGTTGTCGAGTGTTGCAGACGCTGTCTAGCCTCTGCAGGATTTTCTCCTGTCCTTGTGAGGAGATGGAAGAGATTGATTTTAATTTATTAAAAGATTACAGCCGTAGATCCAAAAAAGTTGAAAGAGAGTGGACCTACAGTAGTGGCCAAAATTGTGGAAACCTTTTGGGAAAAGTGTATTTTCTAAAACTAGCTAATAACACCACTTTTTTTTTTTTTTTGGAGTAGTAGTACCATAAAATTATATATCAACGGAAAGATAATTTATTCAAGAATGTAATGCAATAACTTTTATGAAGGATTTGCTATTAGAATAACAGTTGCAGTATAAAGAAGAAAAGGGAAACGTAGAAAAAACAAGGTATACAAAAATTATCACCCTAGAAAAAACGAGATATACAAAAATGATCACCATGTCAGTTCATACTTCGTTGGGTAACCTTTAGCGTGAATGACGGCCTTACAACGTCTTCCCATGGAGTGAACCAAGTCTTTTAGTTCTGCAGCTGTTATAACGTGAAAGCAAGATTGAAGGTTGCTTAGCGCATTGTAAGCCACCCTGAGTCTCCGGAGAAGGGCAGCATATAAATCAATTTTTTTAAAATTAACTGGGTTTTATTGCTGGGTCGCTTGTGACTAACAAGTTTCTATAGTCGGCTCCATAGATTTTCAATTGGGTTAGGCCATTCCAGCAATGGAATAGGATTATCTTGAAACTCCTAAAAAAGAAAAGTTGTGTTATTAGCCATCAAACCTCAAAAATACACTTTTCCCAAAAGGTTTCCACAATTTTGGCCACTACTGTAGATTGTTCTGCATTTCAACCAA